AGAGAGAGAGAGAGAGAGAGAGAGAGAGAGAGAGAGCAACTATGTGTGGGATGAAGTCTCTTCTTCCAACTATCTGTATAATTTTGATTCCTACTTTGGCCGATCTTGTTGCGGCCCTCTCGGACTTTCTTTGTAAATCGTCTCGGATTTTCTTCGTTGCCTTTGCTTCGTGTGTATGCATGACATGGATGTGAACCCTTTTTTTTTAGTGATCTTTTCGGATTTCCTTTATCTTGTTTTGTGATGCATGCTTAATCATTTCGTCACTTTCTAGTATCCATCTATGTCCAGCAATAGTCCCGGGCCTGCTCGAAAATACTCGTTATGGACGTCTGGGTTCAACCACTAAACCGTTGATCATCATCAGATCACCGACGATACTGTGATTGCCCCCCCTCCCTTCATCACATGAATGGCATGGATGTGAATGTAATGACTGATCCCACCCAAAATTGTGCGGATAGGATGGTTGCATGCAGGTAGGACGCAACCAATACCTCGACACAAGAAACCCGAGTCTGATCCGCTTTCGCTCATGTGCAAGCTCGCGTACGACCGTGATCTCGAGAAAACCGAGTCGCAGCGTACGCGCGCGTCTGCATGAGTCGACCTCGAACTCACTATAAGGATGCGGGAGACCAAGTTCATTAATCGGATATGGTTGTAAAACCTCCCTCTTGGATCACCGATCATGAGAGCCTGAGGGAACCGAAGTATCGCGAATACTGGGAGGGCGAAACTCTTAGACGGCAGGAAAACTGGAGAAACCCGTAATTCCCATGTCTGACGGAGAACGACCGACTGTGCGCGAGAGACTTTCACTGGGCCATAACTGACGACCCTAGGGGACCAGACTATCCGGAGACTAACAACACCCAATGTTATATATCTCCGGGCTTCGTCGTTATTAGCACCAATTTCCCTCCCTTCCATCTCCTCCTTCCCTATCACCAGCTCACACTAGTACCGTGGAATTCCATAGGTCGCTATTGGCCCCGCCCATCGTGCGAAAGGTGTCAGCGGCACCAGGCGTATCGAGCTTCGAAAATTACCCGGCGAACCCGAACTGAAGCCGAGCGGCGCGGACAACTGTTTGAACCCCGCGACAGCCACCACGACCCCCTGATTCACCAGACGAGGAACCGACCACAGCGACGCAACTGGCAGAGACGATAACCCCAGACACGATCTTCATGTACCATCTTGCACTGTTGTCCCTAATCTTGCCACCGGAAATCTCAGTTTCGACCAGAGACTCCACCCCCACTTTCCTAAAATCTTTGGCAAGTTGGCACACCCCCTTTTCGCACTTTCGGGCCCCCATCCCACTCCGATCGGGAAGTCGCGCTGGGCGTGAGGATTGGGCGTCACAGTAGCATGGTAGGTAGGGTTAAAAAAGGGGGTTACAGGTAGATTGACGATGATGATGATGATGATAATGATAATGATAATGATGATAATGATAATGATGATGATCATGTGTTGATGGGGAGGGAACGTGGGGGGGCAAACTCGTGCAGGGGGGGGAAGTTGTGTAGCGCGTGGCAAGGGATCATGCGAAACTCGCGCAGGGTGCGCATTGCAAGAAGAGAGTTGGGGGAAGGATCAAGGGGAAGTCGGAGGGGGCGGAAGGTCGGGGTGCGGGTGCGCAGTTGGGGATCGG